TAGGGTGCAATTCAACGTGCCTAAATAAGCAGTTTCATCTTATAAATACTAAACAGGAAGTTTATTGCGGTTACCATCAATGTACAGAAGATTAAACAGAAAGTCCACAAACTTTTGCAACAAAATATTGATCTTTTTTTTGTCAACCCTTCAAAAACTAATAGATCAATAAATGGACGTCTAGATAGGTTTATTTCTATTTAATGTATAATATTTGAACTTGAATACCTAAGTTTCATAGTCTGTTATGACAGGACAGAATAAATATGGCTGTCCACAAACTTTTGCAACAGGGTGTAATAATAATAAATGTAGTAGTAATAATAATAATAGTAGTAACAATAACAGTAATAATACTACCATTACTACCCACTGTAATCTCTTAATTTACCTACCACTCTTCATCTGCTACATCTCCTGCTGAATCCTCCTTTTCCTCAAAACAGTCTTCCTCCTTCTTTCCTTCTTCTTCCCCCTTCTTTCCTTCTACTGCCCTTGTTGCTCCTTCTACCACTTTTCCTGTTCCCTTTCTCGTGCTCCTCCTGTTCTTCTGCCTTCTTTCTCCCCTTGTTTCTATTCCCCCTCTTTTCACGTACTCATCGAAGTCAGCCACTCTCTCATTTCCACTCTCTTCCAGTATCTCCTGTATCCCCCTCACGTACTCCAATCCCATCTCATCCACACTCCTGTACAAACTGACTGCCAGTCCCCTCTTTCCCTCTCTTCCTGTTCGTCCTATCCTGTGAATGTACTCCTTGGTCTCCCTTGGCATGTCGTAGTTGACTACCATCGTCACATCCTTCACGTCTATTCCCCTTGCTGCCACACTCGTGGCAATCAGCACATTCGTAGCACCCTTCTTAAACTTACTCAGTGCTATCTCCCTCATAAACTGCTCCATATCACCATGGAGAGTATCAACTGAAATGTGAAGGTTATTATTATTACCCTTATTACTATTACCATTATTACTACCCTTATTATTACTACTGTCATTATTATTATTACTACCCTTATTATTATTACCTATATTATTACCTATATTACCCCTGTTCACCACCCCTCTTTCTAATTCTGCCTTTAGTATTCCACAGTCTCTCTTTCTCTCTACGAATATCAGGCACTTGTCTGTTTCAATCAGTCTGCTCCAATCTGTCTCAAAGTGGCAGTTCTCCCTCATTATCCTCACCAGTGCCCCTGTCTTGTCACGGGTGCATACGAACTGCTGCCTGATCGTCTCCACCACCTCCTTGGCCACCTCAACGTAGACGTGATCAGCTGGGAATATGCGAGAATGGATCTGCTGAATGGCACTGCTGTAGGTGGCACTGAAAAGAAGGAGCTGAATTGGTCGAGAGCCAACTCCAAGGGCGTCGCAGATGCGCAGTACGTCATCGGACATCCCCATTTCCATCAGTCGATCTGCCTCATCGAGGACGAAGGCAGCGAGGTTGTCAACTGGCAGGAGACCACTTCTCAGGAAAGCAAGCAGTTTGCCTGGGCAGGCAACAAGCACATCAGTTCGTGATAGATCAGATCTCTTACAAGATGAATAAAGGGCACTGACTTGGATTGGCTTATTCCTGTCAATATTATTACTATTGTTATTGTCATTCTTACTACTGTCATTGCTACTACCCTTATAATTATTACTACCCTTACTATTGTTACTATTATTACTACCCTTATTATTACTATTACTACTACCACTGTTAAATGCAAATGGGTTGATATTCCTCAATTTGTATTCCAAGTACTTGTTTCTACCCTTCTTTTCCCCATTCTTCTCAGACAGCCCCTTGCTCAGCCTGGCTGCTGTCTCCCTCGTCTGCTCAGCCAGCTCTCTCGTTGGTGCCACGACAATGACGCGTATTCCACGTCCTCGCTCCTCTTTGCTTATTCGCATCAACAGTGGATACAGAAATGCGAGTGTCTTTCCCATTCCAGTTGGAGCACGGGCTATCACGTGGTGGCCGTGCTGGATCGGAAGTGTCGCAACTGACTGCACCGGTGTCGGTCTCACTGCTCCGCCTCGTCCAAATGGGCCACCACTCAGCACGTGGCCAACTGCCTCGTCGTAGACTTCTACCACTTCGTAGGGGGAGTTAGTCTCAATGGTGACACCATCACGAACTATCTTCTTGTTCTCAGCTGTTTTGACTATGATACTCTCGTCATGCAATGGGGTATGGGATGAATGGCTTTGATTGATTCTATTTGTGTTTGAGTTTAGTTTCATTTTTGGGGCAATAAAAAATATAAATTTTAGTACTGATAACAGTAACAGTGGTAGTATAGTAGTGGTAGTAATATAGTAGTATAATAACAATAACAGTAGTATAATAATGACAGTGGTAACACTACTTACCTATTACTGCTCACATCCCTACCTTAAATGTAAATAGGGCACATACACTACTTACTACCAGTATTGCCATTCTAAATAGACTGGGATAGAGAATATCGTACCAATCACACTCAATTCTGGCTGGTGGTGTCTCATTCCTACAGATGCGTCCCATGTGATACAGCTTATTCGGTGCAACTGCTGATTCATCAACTATTCTGATACCACTTTCTACCACTTCAAGGGTGTGAACCAGGCCTCTCTTGAAATCAACCACTTTTACTCTTTTGATGAGTTTGATGTCCTTGAAGTGGTACTTCCTACTGCTGCATGCTATTCCACCAATGTATTCACAGTGACGTGAATCGTCCCTATCACCAGTATTCAGCCTATGAAGAGCCATTTCACGGTCAGTCAGGTTGATCAGTATTTTGTTTGTTTTGTTCTGTTTGTTTATGTAAAAGAGGTGTTTTATTCTACTACTGTTATGGAGAGCACTGAGGGTGTTAGGGTAGAACTCTGACTCAATTGAGTCAATGAAAGTATTTGGGTTACTCAGAATGAGGGTATTACCAGATATTGAGTAGGGTGGTATTGGTAGAATCATTTAGTGGAATAACAGGGGTGGATAAACAGTAGTACGATAGAGAAACAGGGACTGTTGTACTACTGTTTAGTTGCCGTATGGCCCTAATCACCACCGTACTCCCTGTACATCTCCCTTATTCTTTCAAAGACTCTTTCATCATTTGGTCTATCAAATGGGTACTCCATTCTGGTACTGCCACTACTCATAATCACCCCACTATTCTTCTTACGGTATTCCGCGTATATTCCATCACTTATTACTACACCCTTGGTTACTGCTTCTGCCATTACTTCCTCGTCTATTCCTGTCTCCTCGTATACTCCATCATAGTAAATGGTCATGTACAAGTAGTACCCAATAATTGATCCATTGATACATCCACCATCAGTTACCACCCTAAGAAACGCCTTGATGAGTTTGTTGATGAATTCAGCACCAAAATCAGCGTATATCATCCTATTTCGTGCTACAAATGTTGCAAACAGTCCTGCTTCCCACGTTACTGACTTGCTTCTATCTTCAATTCCGTAGTGTACCCTATTTAACATGAAATTGAGTAGTTCAATTCTACTACCCTTGTTACTGCTTCTATAGTACTCAAACAGAATGAACTGACTATTGGAACTGTGAAGGAGTATTCCGTTAGTGATTATTGAGTAGAAATCAGTGAGACTGAATTTGACTGATTCAGCAACTACTCTGGTGTAGGTGGGGTAGTTGAATGGATCCTTCAACTCACTCGAGTCACTCGAGTCATCTGAGACTTCTAGCAAATCTGATTCAGCCAATTTTGTGAATATTTCTCTTAAAACAGCCATTCTCACTTTGCTACTGCAATTATCCAGATAGTGTTCAACACAACTAAATTGGAAGTTGTTTGATACCTCTGCAAGTAGATCAATGTCACTAATCTCTTTATTCTTGGTTGCCATTACACTTTTTATAGGGGTTTCCTACCAGTAGAGAAGTTATCAGCAAATAAGTTACCATTAAAATAGAAAATAGTGCCAGTATCAGGGTCAATATCATCAGTAAATTGGTGTACTCGTGGGTGACACCCTTTCCTACTATTTCATTCAGACCAATCTTGTTCAAACTCTCCTTGATTACAGGTTGATTGGCTCTATCCTGAATTATGTTGATAAATTTCATTCTGTGACTTGATTCCAGTTCGTAAACTGCTTCATTGACCCTGATTGTCCTGGTTACGTGAATAGGATAGTTGTTTGTGGCGAATATAGTCTGTATATCACCATCAAACACCTTAATTCCAACCTGATCAATATTGATCATCCTGTATTTGAGCCAAATGAAACCAATAAGATCAATTGGGTTATTGCTGTAGTACCACAGACCATCAACTGCAACCAGTTCAGTGTAAATCATCCTGATTTTATTGGTACCTCCTAACTTGATCACTGGCACTTTTAGTACAGTTATTTTTGATAGTGCTGTACTAAGTACTATTTTGTTGCCTAAAACTTGGTTATTTGCTACTTTTATCAGGAACGTACCCAATCCACTACTTACACCGGTTTTATCAGTGTACTGATCAACATCTATAAACTGATCAATATCCATTCCACTGCATACTCTATCAACAAATTCAACTAATTCACCTATTTCCTTATCCAACACCTCCATTCTAACTATCCTATACTCTCCCAGCCTATCAAATAGTGAATATGAAATTAGTGCCTTGTTGCATTCTGTACAAATTGAGTTAATCTCGTTATCTATTTTAATTCCATCTGAATAAATTGACAGGAATCCACCTGCTCCCATTCTCCTACTGCACCCAATACACCCATTTGCCCCAATCAGCCCAATCCAACTCCAATCCATCAGTCTCATTCTGGGTGATCTATTTTGCCATTTTCTCCCATTTAATGTTTCAACTCTTTTTTCACCCATTTAATCAGAATGTCCACTCCTAATCCACCAAGTGTCAAAATGTACATAGAAGTGTCAATAATTTATACAGTGCTCCTTGTGACCATCATGTTTGGACTGTATGCTGTGACCACAACGAATGCCTCCTCTTGGATCAAATTTCCATGCACTGCTCTGATTCTGTTTACGCTATTCATGGTATCAGCGATGTCAGCCCTAGATCAAAGCATTTATAATTATGGAATACTGTTGTGCTATGTTATGAGTGTGATTGTATCAATTGCATTATTCTACAAATGGTACAAGGACTACAATCACATAATGGGGGTTAGTTAGGCAGGTAAATAAATATGGAAATATTGGTAGTGATGTTAGTAGTTGTAGTAGTTATTCCAGTCATCAACTATATACGGTATCAACTATATATGATATCAACTATATATTATATCTCACTCACCGTAACAGTATTCCCTAATCATTTCTTCTCTCTTTACACTACTGAATATTTTATCAGTTATTAATATCATTACTACACCTATCAACAGTAAGAGAATAATTCCCATAGCAAAAATGATGAGAGTAGCCACCTTATGGTTCTCATAGGCACCAACAACTCTACTACCAACATCCTGGCTGAATTCATGATATTGATCAATAAATGGAATCTGATCAATATTGATCAAATTGGTGGTTATGAACTTGTCCAATTTGGGTATGCGAACGTATTCGTAGTTCTGATCAATCTGCTTCACCAGCATCTCCTTGGTGCCAGAATGAGTGGCCTGAATATCAGTGCTTCCTTCACACATTTTAGTTAACTGATCAATGCCAATTATGCTGAATATTCTGGTTGATTCCTTCTTCTTGTTTCGTACTTCGTAGTGGAGTACGACACTCTTGGAATCAGAGAGGACTTCATTTCCATTTGAGACCAAAAAGACGCTGATTTCAGTCTCATCCCAGGAAGTGATTTCTAGGCCATTTAGGTCGCATTTGACTATTTCATCAAGAAGGAGGGAATAGAAGTCGTAGGAAGTCAGGAGGATTCGAGCCAAACTAACAACCAGACGGAGGCAGTTTGGGGATGACGTGTCTGATACGGCAACATTTGCGTGATCAAGCAGCTCATTGAGGAGGTCGTCTGTGCCATGGCCAAGAATGGTGATCAAAGAGAGCATGGCATGGACTTGAGGCCGATCTGAATCTGAGATTTGCAGGCCGTCTCTTCCTGGAAGCGTGTCCTCTCGTTTATCGGTGTCCAAATCGGGGTTTAGAACCAGCCTTGGGGCGTAGTAGGCGACGAAGACCTCAAAGAGGCCCTGATTCGTGAGATGGGTCAAATTGGTGCTGGAAAATATTCGAGCCAACTCAACCAGGCAGGGAGACATGTCATTTTTAGCAAACCACTCTTTTAGGGCTGCTTTGGTTCCGTAGGTTGGGGCCGTTCTGGCCTTGGGCACCCTTTCTAGGATTCTTTTTACGAATCCCTGATACTTGTTACGGTGCCACCCCTTCTTCTCCCTAAGTTGAGATAGAGCAATTGCCTTCTCCACAAACAGGTTATTTGTTTGTTTTGTTTTCTTGATGATGGCATAGTGGTCAGCTGGAAATGTTTTTCGCACCACACTCGTATCAGCCAGGTTCAACTCCCGGGCCTGATACTTTTTCATAAGGGGGCTTACCTTAACCCCACGGTAGCATTCGTCACAGACGTAGGCAGGTGCGTCTGAATCCTCCGTAGTCTGACAGAGCAGTCCATTTGAGTAGATTTCAACCACTGTGACTCTGCCACTGTATCTTCCGAAGGCACAATACGCCTTTAGTTGCCGATTGCACTGTAAACGGCTTAGTGGATTTTCTACTTCTCTTTTTTGGAGGAATATTTCACGAGGGGCTGTTTTGATGCCTCTTAGTCCCAGATCCTGTTTTAGGGTGTTTTCGTTGAGGGTGATTCTGGTGATTATGGTGCACCTATCACCGTATTCAGCAAATATGGAGCTCTCTTTCCTTGCTAGAGCAGTTAGTTCGCCCTGGATATCGTACAAGGAGCATTTTACAATTTGACTAAAAAGCAGGGTCATAGAAAGGAGAAAAAGATTTAGTTTATAAGCCCATGTTTCCATTACTAATTATGATTTTTACTACTGTTGTAATCAGTGCCTTGAATATTGTCATGAATGTTTATGAGGCTGATTCTACTGGTACCTGCAACATCTACTTCAAGGTAAATGAGTATGAGACTGTGAATAGTCGCAATATTGGTACAGTTACACTCTGTGGTAGGCATATCAGTGGTGGCATTCCTTGTTTAGTACGTGAATTTGTCAATATCAAAACCAATAAAGACTACATCTGTGACATGAATCAGAATATGATTTATGATAAGCACCACTACTGGCTTGTAGTGGATAAAACAGGTGATAAGTCACCAGAAATAAGATTTAGAGGGTAGACATAAAATATCAATTTACTAATATCCTGTTATTACACCCATGTTATCTATTTTTATTGATATTATAACTGCTCTTCCTATTACCATCACAGTAACTAAGCCATATCATGTTAATCAGTACGTCATTCAATTCAGGGTAAATGATATTGATATCAGTAGCAGAAGATCAGTTGGTGATGGAATCATTTGTAGTAAAATGGTTGAGAATGGCGTAATATGCGAGTTGATTGAATTATACAGTGTTAAAGTAAACGTAGACTACATCTGTCTACTGGAAGAAGATGAATCAAGGGATGATTGCGTCTACTGGATTGAACTAAATAAAATGGGATGGTCATCAGGGGAGATTACCATAATAAATTCATGATTATCGTACTACAACCAATATGTCATATTTTACTTCTTGAGTCTTATTAATTGGTACATCATTCCCACAATGAATGCGATTCCCATTGCAATAAACACGATCTTCTTCACCATCATAGCATCAATCTTAGGCTCCTTTCCTTTCTCTGAAACAGCCACTTTTGCCATTTTGATCTCAAACACGTCATTCAAGGTGTCCTTGTACTGGTTCATCTCAAATCGATGGATGATCTGTGGCACCCCGAGAATCTTGCACAAAACACTGCTTTCAACCTGAGTCATTGGCCTAATTTCGTAACTGAAATTGTACCAGTCGTAGAGTGTTCCAGCTCTCACGAATTTGTTCATTGAAAATACACCCTCATCGTCTATGCATCCAAGAAGGATGAATCCAAGGGCCGGCTTGCCATCGACGAGGAAGACGGAGAAGAGGGCATTGTGCTTCATGTACCGCTTTAGCTTCACGTCGTAGACGTCTACGGCAGCAAACATGCTCATTTTCTTCTTATTCGTGACCAGGGCTGGAATTTGGACAAACATCTGCTTGCCGCCTACACTCGCATTCTCGCGGACAGAGGAGTTGGATCCCATGAAGAAGTGGACGAATGTCTTGAATTTCGAGTAGCATTCGGTACAAACAGTCTTCTTCTCCAATTCTGAGGCATCCGAAATTCGACTCCTAGAAATTCCATTTGTGTAGATAAAGGCGGTCTTGAACTGCTTAAACTCGCGATAGAATGAGCAGGCATGCTCCTCATTGCACGTAGTTCCAGGAGTGAGTCTATAGAACGATTCAGCCGTGATATCATTCATGAAGCATAAAAGAATAAAAACCAGCATTTCTTAAGGGGTCCAATAAATGAGTTAAGCTTAACTACCCTCATGCATGAAGAGTACAGAAAGAGAGCAAGAAGCGTCCTATGCACCTCGCCTGAGTCTGAGAGTCTCCTGGACACAGCAGATCGTGCTGAATACAGGATGCCTGGTGCCGTAGTCGATCAGCCAGCCGTAAAGCTGTTCCATAGCGTAATAGGCAGAAATGGGATAATTTACTACTTCAAAATTGAGAGTGTCGTAGAAGATGGTGGAAAAGAGGTCTCCTGGTTCGTATCCAGGGAGTTCAACTCAAACAGCACCCTGGTGCAGATTGAGAAGGACCTGATTGACCTCAAACAGAGCCCAAGACTCCTGAACAACTTCATCAACACATTTGTGGTGAAAATGGATGATATTCCTGTAAGAAGCGAGTACCTAATTCACAATAACGAAATCAAGAGAATGAGGGTATTTGGTAGAAAGCTCCTAGAAATTGAGGATGGGAAGATAGTGCGAATCCTGAACGTAAACGGGGTATCCAGGTACGCCGGAGACAGAATGCTGATCAACAACGAACACGAACTGGTGTGCAGCTGCAGAAAGGAGAGAGACGCCTGGATCACTGAAATCAGCAGGTAGTCTTTATGCTGGTTCAATCCCCGTCATTTCTCTTTTTCAGTCGCAGCCCCTGCTCTCTCCCAGCACTATCTTCGTAGTCTCCCTCTGAATCATCCACCCTGTGAATATCTTCAATTCGCCACCAGCATCGACCATGGCCACCTCATCCCCCACCACAGCCAGCCCAGTCACATTCTCTTCCGTCTCCATCCTCATCCCCTTCTTTGAATCAACGTGATAAATGTGGGTGACTCCGCCTGTACAGCTCAGAATGAGAAATCCACCCAAATATTCAGCAATGTCCAAAACAGGCTGATTCTTCATCGTAAAGAGGTCGACCTGCTCCAACTTGTTGCTCGTCGACAGAACGTACGCCTTTATCACGCCTGACGTGCTTATGCATCCAACTGTCTTCTTGTAGCAGAATAGTATGGAATTTGTTTGTTTTGTATTTGCATAAAATACCTCATTATTTTGGGCAACGAGACCAATTCCGTGTCTGGTCAGAAAGAGAACGGCTGACTCGAAGCAGCTGATCTGAAAGACGCCCTCGATGCACTTGTGGGACTGAACCAGCCTGAGATCCGTGTCGAATTCGTGGATTCGCTCGCCGCAGTAGACAAAGAGCCTTCTTTCACTGGTGCAAATTGCATTCTGACTGAAATACGCCTCATTTGGCTCGAAATCGGCGTATTCCACCTCAGTCACCTTCTGCCTGCTATCGAGGTCGAATTGGACCATTTCGCCCCGAAAGAAGCAGACGATGCTCTCTCCCAGAAACGCGTAGGAGCACCTTGTTCGATCATCCAAATCGGCCATCATCGTCATTGGGTTGTATTCAGCCATCAGATGCCTTGTTACCAGATGAGTTCTACCATTTTCGTAGAGGAAGATCTTCCCATTGCACGTGAATGCGTAGTAGACGCCTCTGGCCGTCCTGGCCCCTGCTACGTTCGTGATTGGTGCCCTGTACCTGATTCTGGTTTTCAGTTTCAGTTTCACGATTGGCTTGCACCTCAGAACGTAGTCACTGCCACGAAGGACACTCTTTGAGCTGCTCTGATTTGGGCTATGAGAGGGGCACATCGATAGAGCAGCCTGCTTCTGCACCTCTTCCTTCATTCTGTCATTTGTTTGACGAAGATGGGCATTCTCATCGCATACGCGTTGGTATTCAACTGATAATTTATCAAGAAGCTTCTTGAATTCGGGTAATACCATTTGGGTGAAAATATTTACACTGGTAATTAGGGTGGTTGTAGTTATAGTAGTTATAGTAGGTAGTTAGGGTGGTAATTATAGTGAATATTTTAACTACCATTTTTTACTACTACTATTTTAACTATTACTGTTTTTACTACCACCATTATTACTACTGCTAGTAACTACCACCCTTTCTAGTACCCTTTTTATTCTTTCTATTTCCACCTCAATATCCTCAATTGTCTTGTACTTCACCTGAGAGTGCCCTATGAAATATTGGCTGGTTTTATCCAGAAAGAATCCAAATGACCCAGAACAGCCGTTGAACTCCTTCGAGGCTGATCGCATGTACAGGCCGACTACGCAGCCGCAGTTGCAGCAGAGTTTGCTGTACAGGCAGTCCCTGAGGTCGTGGACTGAAAACGTGCTGTCTGAGAAGTCTTTGACTGCTGGGCTCTTTTCGCGGAAGAAGAGGAGATTCCCCTTTGAATTGAAGTGGGAGGAGGAGTCAGAGACAACCACGTTGCACTCCTGGCACTGTAGGACAAATACACTTTTATTGGCATCCATGAATAACAGGGGTAGTAAATTGTAATAAATTGTAAATTGTAGTAGACTATAATAAGGTATAGTAAATTGTAGTAAACTGTAATAAGGTGCAATAAGATATATTATAACACCACACTTTATATTGCCCTACAACTTGTAGTATTCTATTACACTATGAAGAGTGAACTCGTATTCGATGCTCCTTCTATTCCTCTCTGCCACTTCTGCTACCCCACTCACGTTCTCGTCCTTCATCTTCCTCACAACCATCCTGGCCCACTTCTTCTTCAGGTAGCATCCAATCAATTCACTACCAAATTCACCACTTTTGAGGTACTCCAATTCTGGGCAACTTTGATCACTGATTCCACCGCCAATCAGAACGAAGAGCACCTCCTCGTTGACGTACTCGCTGAGCTGCCTTGCCTGATCCAGTCCAATCAGCCCATTTTTGTAGGCGGAATAGATCAGGAGAGCCATAGGCAGCTTCAGTCTCTGATCAGCGTAAAATGGCTGAGTCTGCAAAATGGTGATCGGAAGAGTCGAATCCACCTGAGTCAGATTCATTCCCAGGTAGAGGATCAGAAGGTCGTAGACTTCTGCTACCTCATTCTCCATAATGATCCTGATCAGGGTGAGACTGATTCGTCCCAGTCTGTTTGAGAGGAGCATCAGCAGGTCAAAGAGGGCAGTTCTCGATACCACACTTGTGATGGCATCGACCTTGAGGAGAATTCCCTCCACAAATTCATATAGATCATTTTGATCAATATTGATCAGATTGTCCCTGTAGAGAAATAGCAGCAGTACGGTGGAGTACCTGTCCTGGTCAGCTCTGACGGCCTCAATCACCCTCTCTGCCACCAGATCAGCCCCATTGGTCCGATCAACCTGATCAGTGCCAAATATTCTGCTGTAGTGGTAGGTGGAAGTTGCCTTTAGGAATTCGACGTACATTTTGCATGAAATGTGGAAGCAGCTGCCCCGAAACAGTTTGGCTGGCGGCAGAATGGGCCTGTTGACTCGAATCAGGTAGAAAATGGCTGAATACGCCAAATCGGTCTCAGAGCAAACTGATTTCTGGGCCAAATCAAACAGGTTTGGATTCCTCAAAATGGCACCCTTGTAAAATGGCTCATTTTTCAGGTCGCATCTTTCACCAAGCAAATTGATCAGATCAGCTGATTTCGATCTCTCGTCTCTCTGCTCAAGGAGCTCAGTCAGTGCCTCCTGGTCGTGTTTCATCGGAAATTGAGCCAGAAATCGATCCAAATAGCCGTTGATCAGTGGATCCATATCACCCTTGTTGTAGTACGAGTACGCCTTGGTTACGATTGACAGGGTGGCCGTATCAAATTGGCTACTGCCACAAAGTGTCCTAAGAATCAGGTCGATATCGGTTAGTTCCTGGTACTTCGTGATAAAGAGCTCAAAAATCATGTTGATCAAGTTTGGCTGATTTGAGTAGGCTGAGTAGCAGCAGTTGAAGAAGAGGCCCAGATTGTCCTCGAAGAAGGGGTGGATGTCCTGGTAGACGAGCGAGTAGAAGATGCTGAGCTGGTGGCGGCCTGGCTGAAGCAGAAAGTGGCCGACTACCTCGATATTCTGCCTGATTTCCAGAAAAAGGGAGTTTGATCGGGATTCGTCCCTGTACTTCAGAAACAGCGAGTTGACGATGTCGAATCTGCCCCTTTTGCAGCAGATTGTCACGTACTGCTGGTTTCCAGACGTCTCCTTGGCCCTGATTCGACTCGTTGCCTCCACAAAGGCGTAGACGTAGAACATGCGATTTGCCTCTGCCTTCAATTCCAGTATAAAATGCATGAAGTCCTCCAAATCCACCTTTTCAAGGTGATTTGTCATTTTCGTCAAAAAGAGGAAGCTGAGCCAGTCCTGGCCAGACAGAAGCTCCTTGTATCGTCGATACCCAACCTCTGTCCCAATCTCCCCTGCTATCTCCCTCTCCAACTCCCCTATCCTCTCTGGCGTCCTCATCATTTCCTGTAGCAACTTCCCTATTTCTGCCATGGGATAATTTCTCTTTTCTATTTCCCCTATGGTTTTCTTCTTCCTAAAGAATCCAAGTTGCCTCGATTTCACTTCCTCCACGAAATCCGATCTCCAGGAGGAGCCAAGGCGCCTGAGGGTGCTGGAACGAGACGGAATGAGCAACTCGCGTCTCTGCAAGAGGAAGAATGGCGACTGGTTCATCAAAATTGGGAATATTCGAATGGATTTGAAGAGCATCTAAATCAGGCAGATGAAGGTGGCCGAAAGAGAGGCGGAAGGAGGCCGAATCATCGGATTTGTGACCAAAAAGTGGTTTGTGAAGCCAGAGGAGGCAGTCCGCCACTTTTTCCAGTAATTTTTCACAATTTTTGCCCCAATGAATCCAATGAGACGAGTTCGAATTCAGAAGCTGTGCATCAACACGAACGTGAAGCCGAAGGAGGGGAAGCTGGAGAAGGCGGTGGCCGTTCTGAAGCAGATCACGGACCAGGAGCCGTTTGTGAGCAAGTCGCGCCTGACGATCAGGGGCTGGGGAATCCGCCGAAACGAGAAGATCAGCACGTCGGTGACCGTGAAGGGCGAGAAGGCGCGAAGGCTGCTCGAGGACGCGCTGAAGGTGAAGGAGTTCGAGCTGCCTGCGACGTGCTTCAGCAACAACGGCTGCTTTGGATTTGGAATTGAGGAGCACATTGATCTTGGAATCAAGTTTGATCCAAGCATTGGGATATTTGGGCTGAATTATTTCGTGGTTTTGGAGAAGGCTGGGACACGAGTGAGCAAAAGGAGAAGATGCACGTCTCGCGTTGGGAAGAAGCAGCGAGTTGTGACCGATGAGGCACAGGAGTGGTTTAAGACGAACTTTGATGGAATAATAAAAGAGGATAATTAACAGGTTAGGTAGTTGTAGTTGCTACTATTCTACTACAATTGTAATTGCTACTATTCTACTATAATTCTACCTATTAATAATATTCTACTACAATTCTACTATAATTGCTACTACAATTCTAATTACATAACTACCTACTACTACTAATAATAATATTATTATTCTACCCTACTATATATTAAGGAGACTACTATTCATTCCTCCTTTGATGCCCATATGAAATTGTCTCGTGAATCCAATGCAGACGCAAAGCTGTTTATCGCCCTTCTCTCTGGAACAGTCGCCATTCTCTGGAAACGAGACAAAAAGTGGCTGAAATATCTGCCATACGCAGTGGTGCTCCTCACCGACCTAATCGGCGTCCTCTACATCAAAATCAAAAAGAGGGAGTACAGGAACCTCTTTCTCCAATACCGCTACAACCCATGCGACCTGCTCTTTCTGATCACCTTCGTCATCGAAGTCCCAGCCATCGTCGTCTTCTACGCCCTGATCCAGGCGTGGCCGCTCCTTGCTGCCCATCTCGTGGCCGTTCTGCTTCTCTACGTCCACATTTATCAGGGAAGAAAGGCGCAACGGACCAAAATAAGAAACAACGTTCGAATGCACTTCGAATACGGCATTCTGAAGGAGGATATCCCGCATTCACCACTCTTCAAGGGCTCATTTGTGAAGATTCACAAGAGACAGGGGGACATGCTCGTTGTAAAAGACTACGATAACAACTCGTATGAAATAGAAGTCACCCTGGTTACGAATATCACCAAAGTAAATTTATATTAGGCAGACATTGTTACTATTTAATGTTGTTACTATTTAATATTGTTACTACAGTAATACCTTTTATTGTCACTACTCAATATTGTTACTATTTACGTGTTTAGTACCTTTTACTGTATATTTTACTGAATACGTGTGTAAGCAGGTCTCTGTAGAGAGAGTGATAGATCACCACATTCAGGAAGAGTGTTGTTACGAGCATTAAGGAGACTATCAGGGGCAAATGAGTGGGAAAGGGGAAGTGACTGGAGATAAAATGGTAAAATTGCAGCACCCAGCGTTCCCGAGTGATCTCTCAACTCAGTATTGGCATGGGCTCACACAGGCTTATCTTCGGTGTTCAGATGGGTACCGGAGCTCATCTGAGGATATGGCCGCAACTGAAGTAGAAGTACGTCACCATTATATAGGGTGAATGTCATAAGTTGAATTTACAGGAGTAGTTAGTGACATCGTCTTTCTGGGTGAAGAAGTCTGAAACCAGAAATTCACAGGGGGCTGTCACCGTAGACGACTTCAGGTTGAAATTGCCCTTGTTGAAGTATTCAGCCAAACTCAGGTTACTGGGGTGAAATGAGTCGTAGAACAATTTGACGAAGTCATCAACGGTATTCACGCCCAATTCAGTGGAATAGGCCGTGGAATAGGAGGATTGGCCAATCAGAGACGTGGAAATGAAGCCAACATTCTCAGGAAGGCCGTTTCTATCGATCAGGGCCTCAGCCTGGCACGTATCAAGGACGACCAGAACTCGATTGAGTCGTTTTGAGATTCGTTGCAGTATCCAATTGATGTCATCCTTCATCAGGAAGTATCGATCAACTATTTTGAAGAAGTCTTCGTTGGCGTGGCCGCAGATATAGATCAGCAGATTGTTGGATTCATTGAGTTTGAATAAATTGGGATGATTCAGTAGCAGAATATTCACAAGGGAGTTCAGATTCAGAAATGTGGTGGAATTGCTGATTGGCTGGATTCGTTCTGTTTCATTCAGGTGAATTGCATTCTTAGAGAGATTTCTTGGGTCATTGAATGGATTCTCATGTTCAACAACAAGAATCTCATTATCAGAGAAATTATTGGATTTGAGCAATTTGTAGAGCAATTGGATGTTTGTGTGATGTCTGTAATTGAAGAAGTTCTTGGAAGTGTTGATTAGAATGGCATGGTTTCTAGCAAGAAACTGGATGAAGAAGATAAAAAACATGGGTGAAAGAAACAAATAATTATAAATGATGTCAAATGTAGAATGAACTAATGATTGGAAATAATGATTGGAAATAATAATTGGTTTATGTAAATTGTATGACATACTTGTTAGTTCATAGAATATTGTGTTACCACGTTACATAATATTGATTATGATCGATTTTAATACACTTTGTTGGTTTCATGGTCTTGATAAAAACTACAATTAATACAGAAAAGAAAATTGTATTTAAGAATGAGATAAAGCTTGTTTATATAAAATATAACTATGATAATGTAATGTTACTAAATTCATATTTGTATTATTTTACAGTAGTTACCTGAGATGAATGTAAGAAATATACAAATTTGGTGTATTTTTAGCAGCCACTGAAAACATATTCAATAGTGTGCAATATAAAACACTCAGTTTGTAAACTAAAAATGAATTTGGTTACTACTTTACCAACCTGACAAAGATTTATATATTCTTGTTTTTATCTGAACAGAATAAAAACAATTATTTTAAATGATTTAAAATACTTTCACATGAGATGCTATTTTGTTGATAAAATATGCAAAAAAGTTTAATATGTATATCGCAATATAAAATGTCAGTACCATGTATATTATATATGTTTATAATTTGATGATAAAATCTTAATCATCAAATTGTTTTAAATAAAAACATGTACAATAGAAACTACATATTAGTTATACAGTTCATATTTTAAACCTCGATAAGATAATTTTTAATGAATTTAATATATCTTACCAATTTGCAAGTTAAAGTATTATCAAATAGAATATATATTTACACGGAACGGGGAATTAACTTAAAACGATTTAGACATCGATGGTTTTATTTAAAAATATTTTATACAAAGGAATTATATTTCAGATTAATCTTAGTGCTGATGAATATCGGTCATGCTATGATATCCTATTAGAATGTATGTGTTTATGCATGTTCTACGCTGTTGTACTTTCTTAATCAATGATCACACCTGTGTGTACAGCAAATTGAGTCTAACGTTTTTTTCTTAGTAATGGGTAATGTTAAAACTTCAGTTTATAACATTTTCAATTATAAATATAAATACAATATTCTATAAGGGGGTATAATTATCTAGTAGCATTTGTTTGACAATTATAAAAACTATGAGATGTTAAAGTGTTTTAAAAGCACATTTTCAATTTTAAAAATACAACTATTGTTGCAATATAATTATAAAAGCAAGGTTATTCATGAAAAGATTTATAGCAATTTTATTTAATAAATATAATAGTTAAAATCTGAAATTAAGCATCACATAACTCTTAGGTTTTCTGAGTTCATATACAAATATCAAGAAAGTAATAATTTTTATTACTATATAAGTATCATTCTTAGTAAATATTAATTTAAATCTAAAATAGTCTAAAAATACCGTTTTTCATCATTCATATTATTGTATAGTTATTGTTTTGTCTTCTTTGATTTTATTAAGTATTTATAGCATATAAAACTACATAAATTATGACATGCATGTTGAATAAAACTATTTAAATATTGAACATACATTAACTACAAGTGAGACAAAGACCTGTTTATATTTTTAACTACTAGTTTTTCTTCTAAATACTATATACGTTTTTTATTAGATTTTGTTTTGTTTGTAAAGAGAAAGACTAAGAACAAACATACTTTTAAAATATCTGTTTAGTTGTTCACAAGCCAAATAAGACTGTAAGTCTGCTTTCTTGATGTACAGAAATAAAAGCTCAAGTTTTTCAATAAATAATTGTTTTGTATCTTTAAATCAATTAATAATTTAAATTTCGACAAAGCTCTATTCCAATTATTAATATGTAAGGTGACCTACCTGTAAATAAAAAATCTGGGCTTTTTATATATCTCTATAGTGGTATAACTATATTCAATTTTGTTTTAAATAATTATCTTGAATTTTTATATATTATCCAAACCTCAAAGTGACGGACAACATTTAAAAATTCAATCTACGCACATGCAGTTTCATTGTTAATCTAAACAAAATCGTTCATATTCAGAACACTATCATAATATTCAAAAATAATCAAGCTATGTAAATTTTATGATCATATTCATCCATTGTTGTATGCACCCTCTTGTTTAATACTTTTAAGTGTTTATAAACTTTTAAATCAATTTGTTATAAATGGCTAAAACATAACAATAAAAGTGAAGCCTACATTATTGTATGAGATGTGACTTTATTAAGAGTTTTATTGAGTTGTTACGCAAAATAGCACAAATATGTTGTTGGGATTGGAATATGTTTATTCATTTTAAATTTCTGATAGCTGATAATGTTTTTAGCCCTGAAGTTCCTATTATACAAAAGACTTTTTAAAAAATTGTTGTCGCATAACATCATTATATTCACTTATAAAAACAAGTCGTTGTTTCAGATTCTATGCAAATCCAAATATTTTAAATATCTAACTGTGCCAATTTTGAATTAGTGTAATATTGAATTATAATATGGTTAACCATAAATTTTAATTCATCACAGATTATCTTAGATTTTTCAGTATTAATACTTGATTATTTTCAAATTTATTTACTATACACAAAAGTTTACAATATTAAATATTCATTTTAGTTATATTGCAAATCAGTGAATTTAAAAGCCGAATTTTTCTGTTTTGTAGGATTTTTATTGACTTATAAAATACATAAAATAGTTTGCTGTATTTCAGATAAAATTCCTATTGGGTGTACTATTAAAATCATATGGTTTTTGATGATACGTCACACTTGTATTTACTAGACACATTTGAAAGCGAAATTAGTGGTCAAACGGATAGGTTTATAAAATATTGCATCTGTTATTTTATTAAATATGCATTGTCAATTAATTCATCATCAAACAATTGTATAAATAATGCTTAATAGAGTGAGCTACCATAGTAATATGATATAAATAAATTTATCAAAACTTCACATATATAATATATCAATTTATACTTAAGCAACAATATGCAAATAACGAGCTTAAATTGCCAGAATATTTAAACATGTTAAATTATTATGTGATATTGTTTATTCAAATATTTAATAAAATTTGAAATATGTGTTTGGTTTGACATTTTAGTTGTTCCAATGTATTTTCTTTGTTTTTTATTCTGCGCGAATGGAGTTAAGTTTAACTTTTGTTTGTATACTAATGGAAATCCTGTAACGCTTATCATTAATAAATGTAGGTTTAGGTTTGGTTAAAAGTTCATATGTTAATTAATAAATACATCTTATATCATGATAGAATGCTACAAAATTTCTTGAGATAAGGTATTTCACGTAATATAAAATAATATGAAATAATCTCAAACAAAATTTTATAAACTTTACTGCATAACTAAAAATTATATGAAACCCTATATTTTAGGTTATATTCAAAAAATTAAAATCCACTGTATATGTTATTATCTTATAATTCTGTACAATAAAAACAATCAAACTAAATATTAAAATTTTAAACCGGCTATATATAATTTCTAACAAATATAATGCAATTGTTGTATGACTAAACTCACAAAATATTTATTATCAATAGGCATATATAAAATTTAAAGCATAATTATCTAAAAAATAAACTGTTATCTATTTAGGTTAAATATAATAATTAAGAAAATCTTTGTTGATATCCAATATTTTATTTCTATTTGAATATACTAAAATATACTTGCAACTTTTCGTTTAATTGATTTATTTTGAAATGTATTTTATGTGGCTTGTAAAAAGTACAATTCGCGACTTACTTTTGTCTAATAACTTTGAAACAGATATATATATGACGCATTTCCAGAAATTTAACGATGTTGGTATGCAAAATATATTTGAAGTTGATATATTGATAAATAACTGAATTTAGCGTTAAGTTTTAATGCTATAATAATATTGTTCCTCATCTTTTATTAGTAAAGGGATTTAATTTTGTTTGTTAACTATAAAAATATAAATTACAATTTGCACATCTTGTTTTGCAATTATAACAAAAATGAAAAAGTAATAAAAGTAAGAGAAAATACTTATTTCTCAATGTAGGATGTGGCAAATATGCATAGATATTGTGGAATATGATAACAACTTATTTGATTCTGGTATATCTTTTTAATCAAATAACCATGTATATTTTAAACATTTGAACATATACAGAATACCGGGTTGAGTAATAATAGGTTTTAAGTTACAATTGTATAAGTAAAAATTTCCGATTTTGTAGAAGTTTAAAACATTAGAAAGCTGGAAAATGTCTTATATATTTTCTTCTAAAATAACAAAAAATTGTTTATAAAAGTATAAACAATGAGAACTATTCTACTGTTACAAATTGAAATATAGAAGAATGTTCACTTTTTAACAAAATCATTATAAGAAATAACATCCAAGGTAATGATAGCACAAAAAATCATCTGAATTTTGAGCTAGAGACTGTTTTTAAGTTTCGCCACTTTATTCACAAAACATATAATTGTCTTTGATAACTTAAAAGGATAATATATTATTTACTGTAAAGGAAATAATTTTTGTCATAAACCCTGGGACACTACCTTCTCTGTTGTTTTTAATGTAAATTGTTAAAGCTTACCTTATTAATTATAAAATTATTAATAAATCACATTTTATTTATTGTGAAGACTTCCTAATATTGGATAAGCTAGCAATATGTCGTTATGTTTTTTTGGACATAAATACTGTGTTTATGAGTATAATATAAACCTTAACGCAAGACCAAAAAGGTATGCAAGTTTTAGGTGTGTAGAAGCCGGTGGTGTCCTTTTTTGTGAGTAATAGTCTCGCATAACTACTATCCAATTGTCATCCATATAGATTTCTTTTCCTGAGACGAAAACAAAAAAGTACAATAAAGAATTTAGGAAATACACATTTATTTTTAACAAAAAACAAACAAGTGACCTACATTTATTTTATAAAATTAATTTCCAGTTGAAATATATACTAAAAATGGACATGCCTATTTTCTGCTTAAATATATTTTCTATTCTTTTTAGAATAGTTTTATTTATGTTTTAGTAAACCGGTGTTATATTTTAAAAGTATATAAGTTAAATATTTCAGCATTTGCAGCATTTCAGATTGTATTAACAAGGATTGAGATAAGTTAAGTAAAAATTTATTCCTGGCTTTCTGTAGTTTATATGACAAGGTTTAGATTTTCTGCAATACAAAACCAAAAATTATAGTTAAAAAATTTAATACATTCTAGTATTGTTGTTTTTAATAAATATTTGAGTTAAATATTTTTGATTTAATACAACCAAAGTTTTTACCTGTTCAAATTGAAATTAGTTACATTTATATCATAAAATACTTATATTGTGTTTAAGAATAAATATCCATTCTTATGTTTATTATGTTATTTATTTCTGTAAATTACCAATTTAACACTTGGGGTTGCTCTTTATCGGTAGTAACCACTGGTGGCCTAAATGGCCTATGGTATTTAATTATCTTTGACAATAACAGTTTGTTTTATCAATACCAATGTTTAATCTTTAAAAAATACTTGGTTTTTAATTTTAAGGCTTTAAATTTTATTTTTTTAATAGTAAAATGCTAAAAACTTTTATTATACATTTTACCATTTAATCATTTTGAAATGATATATTTTGCATTGATTGATGTTGATATAATTTTTGATCGTAATCTAATCAATTTGCTAATTTATGTAATTTTTTATTTAAACTTTAAAATAAACAACTTCTTGAAAACTTGAGTAAGTTTAAAAGTTTGTTGGTGAGAGTTCAAGACACATAAACTTCATCTGGAACAATTGTACTTACGTTTTATATTGTGTGTTTTATAGAAACAACAATATTAATGCAGATAAATATTATTTACCTATTTTATTCCCTACAATAAAGAGTGGTTTAATTATAATTTTCATCCAAATGATCGGTTAAAATATTTTAGAATTCATATGAAAAGTGATTATATAAATTCCATAAATAATATTGTGTTTTTAATGGTCATCATTTTACATTTAATCACCTATTTAATTTTACTACTGTGTATTTTGTGACAGGTTTGGACATCTAGACATTACAATAATCAGATCAAATCCTTTTTCCATGTCGGAAAAAGGGACCTTAAAATGAAAGGTAAAAAGGACTTGATCTGTTTAGTCTATGCTGTTTATACAATAAATACTGTAGTTTGCTCTTGTAAATATTGTTGTATATTGTATTAATTTCTCAATTTACACACTATCTATAGTTTAACTATGCAAACTTTCATTTTTATAAATTATATAATTTATGTTTAATTTAAAATTAATTGTATCCAATTGTCTTAATCACGCTCCACAAATACTTTTATTTTACACAATCCCATGTATTTTACAATAACTCGTTCACTTTAATCAATTAATTTCTATAAAATATATTCTACCTTATTGTTCCTATAAACTACAATTATTTTATTTACAATTTACCCGCAGAAGTCTCCTAAAATGCATCCAAAGTATCTTCTAAACCACGACTTATTTTCTGGCTGTGGTACTCTCTGAGATCTATCCAAAATATTCTCTGATATTATGTTACCATCTGGTGAAGTAATTACTATTTTCCTAGTCTTATTCTCCACTGCCCATGTTTTGATATGAGTCTCTTTTGATTGTTCAATTATTTCATTCTCACCTGACATTCTTTCTGATCCAACATATGAAGATGACTCTGTATTTTGATCAATGGATTTGTTGCCCACATTCAAATCCATTGATTCCTTCACTGTTTCTGGTTTATCTCCTGATACATCCCCCTTTGTATCAAGTGAATCCATAACAGTCGTATTATCAATATTAAATACTTTGTCAAATTCAGTTGCCGAATATGAATTGGATTCATGTTCTGAGACACATTTCAAATCAACTTGTTCAGGTTCCATCACATTTTCAACAGTGTTTGTTTCACAGCTTTCATTGGATTTGTTACTGTCGCCTATTACAGTAACATTCTTAACAGCCGTTACGATTTCACTAATTCCACTACCATCAGAAATAGCAAATTGTATACTGCTACTACCGGATTCAAGAGTATCTCTCTCCTTATCACTATTCTCTGCAGCTACCTCTTCTGCCATTTCACTAATGTCAGTGGTTCCAAAACTATCAGAAACACCAATGTTAATACTTAGTTGAGAATCACTAGACTCAGTAATAGCACTCTCCTTCACACTGCTACTAGTGTGATCATTGCATATATCACTGACTACCTCTCTATAGTCTGTTGATGTCAGGTGTGACTGATCTGTATCATCCCCCTGTAATTCCACTTTCATTTCAGACTGAGTGGGTTCAATCCCAGGGTATGAACTTTTTATCCCTCCTTCATCTGACCCATGCGCAGTAAACTCTGCATTGATGCCGCTAAAGAACTGGATTAATCGTCCTACACGTCCTTTCTCACACAGACTCGGGTCATCCAAGTGCACCTCAACACTGTCACGTTCCAAACTCTCCTCACTCCTGGAATGCTCTACCGTCTTCTTGTTCTGACTCGACGAGCTCGCTGGAATGGAACTGAAACACATGGGGGTATCTTTTTCGTTTATTTATATACTACTTATCGCATAATATCATGCATGGAGATGTTTTATGATACTATTTACCTGAAAATATTTTAATATTTGATAAGGGTATTAAAAGAGTATTTAGGTGTTTGAAATGGATGTGAGTGTGCTGAATATAATAGCAATGATGTGATATGTAGACACTTGTATACATAAAAGTATATTTGTAAAGCATTGGAAAGATAAGAATGCAACCTGGCAATATGATTTATAAGGTTGTAGTGTGCTGGAAACAGCTATATGTACTTAAAATGGTAGTATAGTGAGCTATCTACTGTTATTTCTCTCTCTATTTTCTATACGAACAAAATTGCTATGGACCTTTTCAAAACAAACTATTTTTGCCTGATTTGGTAACTTATGTAAAATTGCGTCAGGATGTAAATAAATAACAGATGTTCGTATAATGTAATTCACTTAAATAGTAGCTAGAATCGATTTTTTCAAGTAATCAATTCAAAGATACCCAAATGACCTGAAATCATCATATTGTTTTTTGTTACATTTCCGCCCAAAATAGCAGAAGTGGAACAAACTCGCCTTTATTTGTCTTCAAACCCTTTGTTTTATGATATTCATTGTCTTTATTTTTAATACCTTCAAATTCAGTTGAATAAGCCTGATAATCAAATTTTTTTGCCAATAACATCTTTTTGCAGACAAACACGATTGCATGTTTATATGTTTGATACAGACAACCATAATGCGCTATTTCTTGATGTTCTGTTCGTTTTGACATCAACTTGGTTCTCATAAAATCAAATTGAAACAGCAACGATGCTCTCTATTCTAGGTATTTAAAATCAACAGATTTCTAAAGCTGCTATAGTCCGTACTTCTGTTGTTTCCGTTCATCGCGTAAAGCCTCTCTTTAGGTCCTTCACCCGCAGGTTCCGATTCCTGGGTTGCTGATTCCGGTTTGTCGGCTGGTTCCTCAGTAAGTACGTCCTGGGTAGCCTCTTGTTCCCCTGTTGAGGCTTCTGTCTCTTTGTCTGAAGAATCCAGATATTCTGTATAGAATTTGTTTAGTAAGTTTAATCGCATGTAGATGGGGTAATTTTCCCCCTTTATTAAATATGGCATGTGACCTCATGACAAAAGCATTATTTTCAACTCCTCTTCTATCACTCTATCATTACCAGGCTTGCAATCCTTAGTGTTTTCGCTATTTCTCAATCTCGTGCTTGTTATTCCATTCTGGACGCGTCCAGAACATGAACTGTTGTTACGATTGTATCTTCACATGTTATTTTTCAATATAATCACTTCTCGATATAATTATCGTAGTAGCAACATCACCTTGAAACGTAATCTTATTTTTGCGATTTTCAAACCTAAAATTAGGGATTAAAATGCTTCACAGAGTACTTTCCCCACTAGAAATGCTTAATAAAAATAGGCCAATTGGCCAAAATGACTAATTTAGCCATTTTGGAACCCTTAATTTTGATTAAACACTTCTTTTAACTTAGGATCAATATGCAGAGCAATAACAATTCTTTATTATCCTATTTATTTATTTCTCACGTTATTCAAGGGACCATTCTTACTTCTGTGGTCTTCCTTTTCTTTATCAGTATTAATGTTCCTATTGATAATATCACTATACCCACAACAACCAATATGATAGCCACTAATATTTTGCTCTTCTTTGATGTTTCTTTCTTCTTTGACACTTCTTTCCTTGGTGTTTCTTTCTTTTTTGATGTTTTTTTCTTTGGTGTTTTCTTCTTTTTTGGTGTTTCTTTCTTTTTTGATTTTTTTTTCTTTTTCGGTGGTTCTACTATTGTTTCTTTCTTTTTCGGCGGCTTTACAGTTGTTGCTACCTTCTTTGGTGTCTCTACTCTTGTTGCTACCTTCTTTGGTGTTTCTTTCTTTGGTGTTATTTTTATCTCATACTCTTCCAGGTCATGTATTGTTTGTATTTTTCTTTCCTTTTTTGTTATTCTTATTATCTCCGACTTCATCGTTTTGCTTCCGATTGTAAATGTCATATACATATAAGTAGTGGCATCACCGTTACCAATTCCATCATGAAATCTCTTTAAATACGGTAGTTGCCGGAAATGGTTTTCCAGTTCTTTTTTCTTTTCATTTGCTGTTAACTTGTAATCCTTTCCCAATTTGATTATTATCTTTGCTGCTGCTTCATGCATAAATCGTGTTATTATATCTTTTTCTTCTATTTCTTTTATCCGTGCGTTTAGTTGCGTTATTGCTGCCTCGACTTTCTCTACAGTACAACTGTCAGCAGTAAAGAAGTTCATGATGTCATCATTGTCTGACTGATTTTGATACATGCTAGTTGTCAGAAACCCGATAGCCATATTTTTTATCAAGTCTATCGCCGTGGTATCTCTTCCTAACACATTAATCGTGTTTATAGTATTACTAGTGCTATTTATCTCTGTCAACTCAACTTTATCAATATTGGCATTCCGTTTGACATCAGGGAATATCACCAATTTATCATAATATTTCTTTGAGGGGCTCATTGTAGTAGCAGTTTTTAACTTATCGTATTCAGTTTTGAGTTTCTGGTAATTTGCATCTTCATCACACTTTACACCAAGCAAATGAATCATCCACGACCAAATAACTAGCATCATATTACGAGGGTAATTAGTGGAAAAATTTTAAATAGTCGTTACTTGATATATCACATGTCAAGTTCAGTTGGTGATTACATCTCAATATTGCTCACCATGCTATCTGTTGAATAGAAGCAAGTGTTTATTCGTAATATCACTAAAAGTGTCACTTCTATCAAACATTGACTATAAGAGAAGCAATATTTTGAGAATCATAAAAATGAAACCATAATCGTCAATAGATAGTACACGTACTATTATCAAAAAGTAGAAAATGATTGAAGTAACAAGGAAAGAAGTGTAATACAAATGAGCAAGCATGACAAAATGAGTTGTTAGTGTGGTAGAAAGGAAAGAAGAACCTTAGTAACAACAGTTTTATTTAGGTAAAATTTATATATCAAAAGTGACATAGGATATAGAGAGAACAATGAACTATAAGATTGCAAAACAAACACAAATTATTGATGAAAGTGGCATTCTTAGTGTTGATATGAACAATCAGTTGTTCCAACCTAACAAATCAAGTAATATTGTAGTGTGGTTGATTGCAGAAGTATTCAATACGATATTTCTAAGTTTGTAGCAAATGGGATAACTGTGACATTCTCATAGTTCTTTATATGTGAATAGTGATGGTTTTGTGTATAAACAGGAACATGGCTGTCTCTTTGTTTTCAGGTAAACATGCTTCTTATGAACGTAATGTGTGCAAAGAGTACTAGAACAACACAATATAGAAAGCATTGGAAAGATAAGAATGCAACCTGGTAATGATATTTAGAAACTTACAATTATTCATAGTTAAAATAGTAATGCAGTAGGCCATTTAGTATTATTTCTATACAAACAATCAGATCACTCTCATTTAATATTTCTGTTTTGATCACTTTCCTTAAATAGTTCACAGTGCTCCTTCTCCCAATGCTTATTTTGTACTGATATCATCCACACCCTAGTTCATAGTCTTTTTTCTACTGTGGTAACTGCTTCCTTGCTTCTTATTCTTCTCCATGTTAATCTTAAACCCATCCTTATCCACGTCCAGCAGTATTTGCGTCTTTGTCTCTTCCAATATCGTATCCAATACCACTATACACTCATTCTGCTGCATCTTCAGGTTCTTCTTCATCGTCATCAATGCCTCGTTCTTTATAGTCCCTCTTATCATATTAATGATCTCTTCTTGCGTAGCCTGTATGCTGTACTTCTCTATTATCCTGTTTACCCTGGTTGACTCCTCCACTTTGATTCTGTTATCTTCTTTTGGCATTCTGATGTTGAATAGCCTGTTTAGGAGGTCTGTTTCGGTGTAAATGAAGTTAGGATGCGCCTCGTACAACTTCTCAAATGGAACAAACTCAACATCACATACTCTTCTTATGCTTGTTCCAGTAAGCATATTCTTCACCAACAAATTCTTCATTTCCCTGTTTACAAATGGCCCCTCCAAGACGTCTTCTCCGTTCTCGTCCTTCCTCTTCACTATCCAGTTGTAGAAGACCTGCTTCTTCGTCTCATTCTCGTTCCACACGCCTGTCTTCTTCCTCTTGTTTGGAACAAAGAAGCACTTTTTGGCTGCAATCGCCTGGATGATCTCCGGGTCTCTCTCCAACAGGGACAGTCCGTGTCTGTCTCCAATCAAATACGACTCACAGAGATCCGCTGGCACCTGCTCCTCAACTTCCTCCAGATCCTCTAATTTGAAGTCCACTATTTCCATAGGGGTAAAAATATGCTTATTTGCATAAACTACCTATAGAACAAATTACTCCAACATTCTCTCTTCTGCTCCTCACCACCCCATGCCTCCTCCCTTCTTCTCGAGTCTCTTCAGCCTGTTCTTCACAACCTGTGCCTCCACACTCCTCGTCTGGTCGTATTCGACGACTCCTTCTGCTATTTTCTCTCCATAGCAGAAGAATGAGCACTCCTCGTCAACCATGTACTCCAGATGCTCCCTGACTCCCCCTGAATACGCCCTCTTCTTCACTTTCTCGTATTCCTGGTCTCTTTTCATTTCCCTCCTAAAAGTGGGCGACCTGAACCCATGTACGACGAGAGCAACAAGGAGAACATCGACCCCGACCGCGACACGCCGCAGGTGCGGAGACTGCGTCCGCCGCGCTGGCCAGCCTCGAAAGGAAGGAGACAGAAGCACAAAATATTTAAGATACCCAAGAATAAGCTTAAAGGAAGGATAAGCGAGAAAGTTGAGTTTGAAGACGAGGCCGAAGACAGACTGATGTTTTAAGGGTGAATAAATTTGACCAATTTCCAGGCAATTTGGCTATTTGTCAACAATGGCAAACAAACAGTGTCAAATGTGGATATTTTACCCCCATGCGACCGAGTCTGACGACACTGCTGCGAGGCGGCTACAGCGGCGAGCTGCGGGCCGACCGATCGACGCGAATCGAAGGAAGGCGGATTTCTGCGACTCCTTTTCGAATTCTGGACGCGCCTGGGGTGGTCGATGATTTCTACCTGAACCTGCTCGACTGGGTCGGAGAGACGCTGGTGCTGGGGCTGCGAGACTCGCTCTACGTCTACAACGTGGAGACGAGGGCTGTTTCCGAGGCGCACGTCTGCGAGGGCGGCTACGTGAGCGGAGTTGGCGGAAGCGAGGAGCGGATCTGCTTTGGGGAGAGCAGCGGCCACGTGCGAGTCTACGACCGAATCAGGGGCGTTGTGGTGGCCGAGAAGAAGATGCACGGGACGCGCGTTGGCGCCCTGGCGCTGAACGAGAGCGTCCTGACGACTGGCGACAAGGAGGGCGTCGTGGCGAACTGCGACGTGAGGACGATGAAGCGGACGAGTCTCTTTGAGTCGCACACTGGTGAAATATGCAGTTTGAGGTGGTCGCCAAACAGGGAGCTGTTGGCCTCGGGTTCGAACGACAACTCGATCAAAATTTGGAAGATGGGAAGCCCCCTTTGCAGGAGTCTCCTGGGCCACAGCTCGGCCGTGAGGGCACTCGACTGGTGCCCGTGGAAGGCGAACGTACTCTGCACCGGTGGCGGATCACGCGACAAGACCCTCAGGGTCTGGGACGCAGTCGGAGCCAGGCAGCTCAGGCAGATCCAGACCGATTCACAGGTCTGTTCGTTGCACTACCTCAGCAACTACAGGGAGATTCTGACTAGTCACGGATTCCAAAAGAACGATCTGAAGCTGTGGAGCGCAACTGGCGGAATACGAATGACGAAGTCGTTTGGAGAGCACGATGCCAGGGTGCTTCACACGGCCGTGGGACCAGACCAGACAGTCGTGGTCAGTTTGGGCGCAGATGAGTCACTCAAATTCTGGCAGATTGGCGAGGAGAAGAAGGAGAAGACGAGGAGGTGCTCCCTGCAAATCAGGTAGAAATTGATAGAAATAAATTTAAGAATCACCATGAAAAAGAATACGATTATTTTTACGATGAGGAATTCAGCTGTTTTGTACAGCAACGCCAGGGTGGATCCAATGGCTGTTTCACTGGTGCAGGCTGCAACTGGTCTCCATCGCCTCATGGATTCGGGAGACCAGTTTCATACAGTCGCATTCAAGAACCAGATACTCAAAATAAGCAGCAGGGGCGACTACACCCTCGTGTTCATTCTGAATGAGGCATTCGACTACGACGAAATAAGGCAGATTGCAGATGAAATAGGCGGAAGTGAGGATGTGGCAGAAGCAATAGCAAAGTACGCCCAAGAATGACTATTTAAAGACGTAGGCGTCGTATGTGCCACTATCATTCAGAATTCGGCCTATTTCATCATCCACGTTTCTGTTGATCCACTTTCTATTTCGTATCAGGTAGTCAATTTGGTCGTCCTTGGGCATTCGGCTGAATCTGTGACGAGTGGCCCTGTTTCCGCCCCTTTTGACCACTTCCACCAGGTTCTCATTCGCATCGAGCAGGCTGGAGCAGCCGCACTTGTTGAATGACGCAATTTGACCAGAAACGAGGATGACGTACCTGATGGGCCAGCACATCTCCTCGACCATTTCCACGTATTCTGTTCCGCCTAGGACGAAGACAAACAGGTTGAATTTGGTGAAGTACTCTCTACTGAATTGGTGCAGTGGAACTCTATCAACTGTGCAATAGTCGCCAATTTCAATCGTACTAGCAGTCGTATTGGAGACAACCAGTGTCGTATACAACTTGCTCCAATTCAGTCTCGTAGTGTAGCACCTAACAACAATTTTGTAGAGGAGTTTCCTCAAGTACGCCCTATAAACCAGTTTGAGGAGACTGAACTTGTGGGAAGCCAGGCTGTTTCTATTCTGAGTGTGCTGGTCGATCTGGGCACTGAGACGCATTCCAAGGTACCCATGAACCACCATTCTGGAAACCAGTCTCACCAGGTATCCCCTTACAACCTGACTGTAGGCATCTGCCTGAATCTGCTTCTTATTCATCAATCTGCTCAAATACGCCTGTTTTACTCCAATTAGCACATTCTTCTCCATGTTTCCATGCTTAATATAGTCATTTACACCTGTTTTGACGTAATTCAGTGGCAACTTGTCCATTTCCCTGCTTCTGTTATTCTTAATTTTCAGGTCAACGGTGCCATCCCTTATTTCGTAGTAGAATGACTCAAGGGTGCTAGTCAAATCGAGTCCAAATATTCTGCCTAGGGACGAGACATCAACCTGCTCCTAGATTCCCTTCTTCAACAGGCGTACTACACTGATTCTAAGCATATTGTGGTAGTAGAGCGTGATGCAGTAGAAGAGGAAGCATCTTTTGTAGCCAAAAATGGCACCGTAGTCCTGCGAGACAAACGAGTTGAAGAGGACAAGGGCCTCATTTATGCAATTAAGCTTACTTGGGGCGTACCTGGAAATGGTCCTCTCTACTGTCTCACTCTTTTCCATGTTACTCAATATGTAGTATTCCACGAATTCATTGCTGTACTGGTTACACGAGTTGTACTCGTGCATCAGGACATTCAGTGTCTTCCTGAGCTGCTCCATGACTTGGTACAGGTCGTTTTCAACGGTGTACAGGACGTAGAGGGAGACGACGTAGAATCGAGAGATGGTCTCAAGCATGTGGATCTTGTCTGGGCAGACTGAGTCTCCTACAATCCCAGACAGACTCTCTAAATCCGCCTTAATTGCCCTAATTCTGTTATCGATGAATTTGTAGCTCTTGTAGTCCAAAGGGAGATTAACCAGGTACTCGAGTGTCTCTTCCAGTGCACCCGTGTTCCTAATGCTCTCGTACTCCTCAAACTGCCTCCCAGCCACACTCCTCTCGTATCTCTTCACCAGAAACTCCTTCTCGTACTCCTTATCGTAGTCTCCCTCCATCCTGCGCCTACACTCCTCCTCTAGTGGACAGAAGTGGCCACAGAATGACTCAGCCGACTTCACGTCATCGCCTCCTCTCCTCTCCCTGTATTTTCTGTCGTATTCCGCCCTCAAGTCGCCTATAGCCCAGTTCTTATAAAAATTTCCCATTTCACTGGGGTATGAAGTAGAGATAAACAGTAAATCACACTAGTGCTTTATTCTCTCAATTCTGACGCCTCTTCCGCCTATTCTGTGCCTCTTTGAGTAGTCGAATCCCATCATCGTCACGACTGCCTTGCCCAGACACCACCCCTTCCTGTTCTTCTCCACCACCACCTTCTCCACCAGTCCAAATCGACCAAAATACTCCTTCAAACTCCCCTCATTTTCCGTATACTTCAGCCCCATAACCATAAACTTGTTTTCCACACATCTTCCCCCACTCTTTTCAGTCTTAAACATCCTTCTCAGGTCTCTCTCCATCTGCTCCCTACTTCCATACCCCAATACCACATTTCCCTTCTCTTTTATCATTGTTCTGTATCCCCTTGCATTCTTCACCCACTTATTCTCTACTGTCACATTCAGCCCATCTATTTTATACTGTTTGATATTATTAATACTGATATTGTTGTTGTTATTGTTATTATTATTGTTACTATTACTACTACTCTTACTACTCTTACTACCTCTTCTAATTCTTCTCACTTTTCTATTATCATTTGGTATTTCATGAACAGTCACCTTGTCACTGAATGTCACTACTCTCTTCCTGCTACTCTTTCCACTACTCTCATCTTCTGCCATATTCTCGTAGAAATCAATTTTCGTAATCAGCTTCAACTTGGCTGAATTCACTCTGATCACATCATCCACCATTTGCATGGGAATAAATTTTTACAAACTTTTTCTTTTAGCCCATGAGTGACATAGAGAAGGGAATTCAGAAGCTGGTTGAGCTCAGGGCTCTCCACAAGAAGAGGGCATTCAGGAGACACCACTCCGACCGATACAAGCGAGTGGCGCCGTCCTGGAGGAAGCCAAGGGGCCTCGACAACCGCGTCAGGAAGAAATACGCAGGAATGGCCATGATGCCAAACAAGCGATTCAGACTCCCACGGGTGATTCGCGATGTGCTGCCGAACGGGCTCAGGGAGGTCGTCGTCAACTGCGTTGGTGAGTTGCAGGCGCTTGCGCCACAGCGCGGCCGCTTCTGTGCGACCATTGGCGCAGCAGTGGGCGCCAAGAAGAGAATTGAGATCGTGAACGAGGCCAAGGTTCTCGGTGTCGCAGTCACCAACGAGAAGGCACGTCTGGCAGTGGAGGTACCAGAGTGAATGGATGAATGAATGAGTTGAATGAATGAATTGAATACGTCTAAATACTACTACACTTATAGTTGCTACCATATTTGCTACCATATTT